TGGTCCCTCTATAATCCGGCTCCATTTGTGCCACGAAAATCTGCTGGATTAGGGAGGGTGCTGGATTAACAAATCTGATTTACTGCTGCAATGTACATGAAGAGGACATTTTGGCTACTGAAAATTGTGCTGGTTTATCGAGGGTGCTGGATTATAAAGTGCCAGATTAGAGAGGGACGACTGTAACATGTTATTATTATGGAGTGCCTTGTTTATCTCTCAGTACCTCCAACCATATATCCTTGCCCCTTATGTCCTCAGGATCAGTGTAGTTGTTGGAACGAGGTGTCGGACTCAGCAATGTATTTGTTTACATTTTAATACATGTTTATTGTTCCTACTTTGCTGTGTTGGTTTAGACAATCGTGGACTTGTAACACTTTGAAGTCATTGAACTGCTTCCAAAAGTTTTATCGGCATCAACAGGATTACGATTTCACTACAATATGATGCCGGATAACCTTATCACGACAACCCATGACTACAATTATAAACACAGAATCAACAAAAACATCTGCGGCACGCACCTTGTTACAATTCTCAAGTAAATTTGATTTCGGGTGTGGACACCTGAATTTTCTGAAAGACAAGACAATTTTATGACAGAGTCATGAACTTCTGCAACATCCACAGAATGACCTGCGTATAAAAAAAAGTATCACCGCCACTACCCATATGATTCCCCTGCAGAAGAACATGAATACATGTATGCAAGACTAGTTCCATTTTCTGCAAGAAAAGGCTTGCACATCAATGCGTATACTACGGTATTGAATTTGATATGATACACGTACATGTACAGTACATAGGGGCTCCCGGAAGAAGACCATAGTACAGTGTGGGAAACACCCTAGTAAAATAAAATAATAATAATAATAACATGTAGAGGCGCTACGTACATGTAGGCCATCATTTATTTGGGCATTCCATTGGTGACACAATTATAATATCCTTTAGCCAAAAAAACAAAAGAAATTATAGCAATAAAAACTGCTTTATGGCAGTTTTCTAAAAAAAGTTATTGTGTTCTAGTCCATGGACCCCGTCTAAAAAGTAAGAAATTAACGAAATGTGATAGCCGAAAATTAAAATTTCACACAAAACCTCACAATAATCACACACAGAATGCGAGACGACCTTTTCCCCTCGTGGTCCTCTTTCATATGCATGTACTTGTACAAGTACAAGTGTCGGAATAAACAAGTGTTGAAAGCCGTACTATTAGATCTTCAAGTGTCGTGATTATTGTGAGGTTTTGTGTGAAATTTTAATTTTCGGCTATCACATTTCGTTAATTTCTTACTTTTTAGACGGGGTCCATGGACTAGAACACAATAACTTTTTTTAGAAAACTGCCATAAAGCAGTTTTTATTGCTATATAGTACTAGTAGCTACCCGTATGTACTAGCTAGTTACTGCAGCTAGCGCTGATTTCCGCTAGCTAGCTGGCGCTCACTACTCACTAGCATAATGCTGTTTCAGCCAGCGATTTTTGGCCATCTAACATGGCGGGGGGTACCCGCTGATTTTTGCAAAAAATCAAAGATTAATCATTTTACGTTGAGATTAAGGTGAGTTGCTATCATTCTTCCGCGATTTACCGCCGCTAGCCCCACATTTTTGATACTAAATCCGCGGGAGTGGAAAGCTGACGCGCACAGCAACATTTTGGTACCAAACATTCCTTGATCGGACGAAGGAGAAGGAAGTTGCTTTCTGTTTTGGCGCAGTGGAATTATCGACTGAAATTGCTGTCAGTATATTGTTAGCTACCTTCATCACGCTCGTGGTACGTCTTCTGGAGTTATTCAGTCACCACTCGAGGTTTTCCTCGCATCCTCGGGTAGTTGTCCGTTATATTTTCGCAAGTTCTTTTGAATACGATGGTGAAATCAAAAATACGATGGGCCTTTACTTTTCTCTGTTTCCAGTGAGAGATATGCACATCTGCGACGCATCGCACGACATGGAGCACCATGCAGCGCATTTACAGCATCTATGCCGTGTTGGAGGCGCAAAATTTACTGCGTGCTCCCAACAGACGAGATATCCAGTGTCTGACTACACTGAAACGATGAAAAACGTATTCAGTATTGATGTTTGTAATGACGACCCTACCATTCACCCAACATATATCTGTGCTCTTTGCCAAAGAGTGCTGAAGAGATCACAGAGCACAGAGAAGTTCAATCCCAGTGGCGGTGGTTGTGGACAAGGGGTAACATTTAGTTAGAAAAGACCTGAACCTGTGATTCGCAGAGTCTGCACCAAGTTTCAAGAAAAATCGAAGGGTGGCCGACCAAGCAAACGGATAAAAACAGCAAGCGGAGCATGCAGCAAAAATGACATCAAGCAGTAGCAGTGCATGTGCATCTAGCAATAAAAGTAAAAAGTAAATTATCGTGTCCGTTCCCGAAGGGAACTCACGACGGCCGCTAACACCCGGTAAACCCTATGCATCTAGCAATAGCATGGATATACCTGAAAGTGAGGCGTATGACATATCTGCACCTGATTATGAAGCAGAGTGCAATTTGACTATGTCAAGATTTGCCGACAGCAGTGCAGCAGCCACAGTACAATGCATGATCTGCCGCAGCATGCCGAGCAATGGTGTTCGGTCACCATGCTGTTCTAGAGTATTTTGCACGAAATGCATATGCCAAACATTAACCAACGGTGCGCAGTGTCCAGCCTGCCAACATACCCTGCGTGCTTCAGAACTGGCAAAGCCAAGCGACCTGTTCTGTCAACTGCTTGCGAACTGGTCCGTCCACTGTGGATCAAACTCGGTGGTGATCACGGCGGAGGATCTTTCAAGTTTGTCCTGCAGATCGTGAATGTGCAGCGGCCGAATTCACTCCTCAACACTATCCCGATTTGCATCTTCGAGGCACAAGACACGCCATCGAACCTTGAAACCGCGCTAGGAGTCTATCGTGACGAGGTCAGAGATCTGCAAACAACAGCAACATGGAAGAACAAGTCGTTCAAATTGTTTTTCTTTGGCGACTACGAATATCAAACGAAAGCATATGGTTTGTCGGGGTCCAGTGGCACCGACCATGCTTACACTGTCTATGTCAGAAGAAGAATATGGACATTCCACCAGCCCTAAACCCAGATGCCGATTCTACCAGCAGAACACTAGAAACTCTGTACAACGATTTCACTGGATTCACGAACAGTGGCTCAAATCTAAAGAATGCAAAGAACTACAACAACAGCATACGTCCAGTGATCTTACCTATTCCCGAGGAGAATGTTGTAATCGCGGCTCTTCATCTGGATCTGGGTATTTTCCCATGGATGCTGACTGCTTTTCAGGCTGAGCTCAAAGCCCTCGACATTGAGCTTGCCAGAAGAACAGCTGCTGCAGACACCGCCGTTCCTGCCGCCGTTGCTACTACAGCAGACACCGCCGCTGTTTCTGCTGCCACTGCCGTCGTTCCTGCTGCCACTGCCATCCCTGCAGCCGTCCCTGCAGTCGTTCCTGCTGCCGTCCCTGCAGCCGTCCTTGCAGCCGTTCCTGCTGCCACTGCCGTCCTTGCTGCCACTGCCGTCCCTGCAGCTGCTCCTGCAGCCACTGTCGCTCCTGCAGGCGTTCCTGCTGCCACTGTCATCCTTGCAGCCATTGCTGCTACAGCAGTAGCTGGTGATGCTGGCAGCTTTGAAAAGCTTTCGTCACTGCATGAAGCCAGCAAAACGGATGAGGAGATTTCTGCAGTTACCCAACAACTACATGTAGTGCAGCAGCAAGTCCAGTACACTGTTCTCTTTTCTCAGCTTGATACCTGCTGCCACAGTGGAGGGCGTGACACAACACCTACAAGACCAGTGGAAGAATGGTGATGCACGCCGTACTGTATTGCTTGCGTGGAGACAGTCACTCACCGACCAAATGGCCGCAATAAAACAGAACAAAAAGTGTGAGGGGCCATGTTGAGCAAGCATCGAGCCAGTTTTCCAGCGCAATGGAATCGATAGGCAAGCATACCATGGAGGTGCTTTTGTGGGCAACCATGTGCACATAGCTCTTCAGCCAGCAGTGACAACTGAAATAACCCCAGCACATTTATCTGCAGTAGCTTCTCGTGCGCCGCTGCTGCTCTGCTGCTCCCAGAGGCAAATCGAATTCATGAGGATTACCAGCACCTGATGTCCCTGTATGGCGAGTGCACTGCCCTCTTCAGCCACTGCAGGCCTGTGGACGAGGCCACCATATCCAAGCTAGAAGGCTTGGTGGAGACATTTATGACTGCATGCCGAGATATCGTCGTCAGCAAAAAGCTCGGCCACATCACGCCGAAATTGCACATGTTGGAGGTGCATGTCGTGCCGTCCATCCGACGGCGAGGCGTTGGTCTTGGTCTCCTCGGAGAGCAAGGGAGTGAGAGCATTCACGCCCGCTTCAACGAGCTAAGGAGACACCACGAGGCCATCCGCAATCCCTTGGAGCGCCTCAAGTCTGTTGCACAGACGCATTTGATTGCAACTCTCCCACAACACGAGTCGCTCCGTCCAGTCAGCAGGAAGAGGAAATCCTCACAGTAAAGTTAGTGTATCTCTGCATCTTGTTTGCTGGCCTATCTGAAATTCTCGGCCTTCCATCGAGCTCTTTTAGCTTTCTCTCCTCTCAAAATAATTCAGGTTGTTTCCTTTGTTCTCATCTCAATCTCTTTCCTCACAATATTTTCGAGGCGATCGAGGACGCGTCTGACGCGCGTGTCAGCAAGTACAAAAATTCGGTTCGTCATGGTTTCGATGTGAAAATGTAATAATTCGCTTCGTATTATAAAATACCGTTGGGATTTGTCAAAAACGGCGCAAAAGCCGCCATATTGTTAGATGGCCAAGTGGGAACAGCATATATGCACTGCCACTGAGTCATGACTCAAGTCATGAGCGACATGCATGCCATGCATGATGAGTCACCGCATGTGCGCGCATGCGCTTTGATAGCGCAGCTGCAGCTAGCTGGGCAGGTGAGACTAGTCTTTCAAAAAATAAAAAAGGAGCAGCGTCTTCTTTTTCCTCTCCAGCTCAAGTCTCAAGTCTCCACTCTCGATCTCCACGAGAGATGAAAACGACGATGCTCTAGAAAAGGATGACGATCTCTTACTTTAGACTGTTAATTCAAAACTTCAAGTCCGCTTCTTCAACACTCCAGGATTTCCGACAAAGACAGGACTGGCCCTGATCCTGCGACGGGTTGACTGCTATCCGATAATCGAGTTCTGTACAAGTGAGTCTGCCCGAAATTGAAAAGGACTGGCGCTTTGCAAAGATGGATGTTGTGGCAGCGAAAGTGGTGTCCATCGTGACCTTATTCTTTCTGACCCTGATTTTTGCGGTCTTGCCCATTCGTCTGTCGTCATGGTCAACAAGCGGTGGACGTTGGAGACGAGCCTGCACAAGCCTCGCCAGTTGCCTGTCAGGGGGCATTTTCCTGGGAGTTGCGCTCCTCCACCTGCTACCTGAGGTTCGGGAAATGTTTGACTACGTGCTGTGCAAGAAAGAATTGGATATCGAGTACCCGCTAACAGAGATCACCGTGGCAGGTGGTTTTCTTATTATCTTGGTATTTGAACAGCTTGTTCTGTTCTTTCGCGATCGGGGAGCGGAATCAGAGTGTGACATAGCTAACGTTCCACCGCACGGATGCGACCGAGAGCGCAACTTCGACAACTGTGGAACTCAGAGTCAGAGAGAACGCGTGGCATTCAGCTCAACAAGCGGTGGACCAGTGTATGGCACGGTGTCCGCGGCTACAGAAGAATCCTGTGACAGTACTCCGCTACTAGGGTCATCATTACCTGTATCAGGACAGGGAGCTGGTCAACAGCCAGGGGCTAGCAGCACTAAGGCAGAGGTGTCTATCGCGGCGTCTCCAACCCCGGCCACTGGTGATGCCGCTCCCGGAGAGACTGACGAGACAAGGGGTAAATCAGCCAGGGAAACGTTTGGTTCGCTGGTGCTGCTCGCCGCTTTGTCTCTACACTCACTGTTTGAGGGCCTCGCTCTCGGTCTGCAGAGCGATTCGGATACAACCATCCAGATATTCGTTGCCATTCTGCTGCACAAATGTGTGCTGGCATTCGCTCTCGGCATCCGCATGGTCAAGTTGAAGGCCAGTGCAAAACAAATCGGTCTGGCAGCACTGGTATTTGCTGCCATGAGTCCCATTGGTGCTGGGATAGGTATCGCCGTTGAAGCGAATGCAACCAATGAAGTTGACCGCCAGCTCGTGACAGCGTGTCTGCAGGGAATTGCCACCGGGACTTTCCTTTTCATCACGTTCCTGGAAATCATCTCGCCGGAGATTCAAGGGAAACGCGTGCGGGGTGAGTATGACATTCAGCTGATGCGTCTTGTGCTGATTATTGTAGGCTTCACTATTATCGCTATGCTCAGCCTGAATCATACGCACGATCACTTGGAGTGTGAGTGGCATGACCATGACCACGACCACCATGATCATTGATTATTTTCATCAATAAATATTTCTGCCGCAGGCGGCAAACGTGATTTATGTACATCCACATCCCTGAATCTGGTTTCGTCTCCTTTCCTGTACCGCACACACCCCCTCACCCCCCCCCCCCCCCCCCACACACACACACAGTCGCGCGCACGCGCAGAACACTCAGTTCCGAACATTCCCTTTCCGGCTCCTATATACACCATTTGACATGTTTCACTCTGTGAATCTAGCTGCCGCCTTCAGCCCGATCATGTGCGCAGTGCAACTGAATGGTGCATGGCTCCTTTATTATCGTTTTTTTCCTTGACAATGGCTATTTTTTAACCCACATGTGCTTCAAGGACCTCAACGTATTTATATACTATATAATCACCGTCAAAAAAAAGTCTCAAACTAACGCCGGCATGAAAATATAAAAAATTATAATGAAATTCAGCTGTTGCATCCTACTTGGATAGCATGTGTTTTATCAGTTTTACAATGTGCTTGGCCTTCTTCTGTAAGGTTTCTCTGCATGATTCTGCCCATGTTTGGGTTAATGTTTTGTTTCAAGGCTTGGTATATTTGTGCACCTGACATGCTTTCTATCCACTTCACTTTTTGGTTTGCATTACCAGACTGACAGATTGGAATCCATTTCGCCTTCTCAAATTTATAAGACTGACCTGGTAGTATTTTCCACAGAGCTGATAATGGCGCTGTGTGCGAGCGTGCGTGTTTATGTGTCACCGGGGTGTGTGTGTGTGTGTGTGTGTGTGTGTCACGTTTTTTGTTTGAAGTTTTATTTTACATCGCAAACCAAAAGGGCATTGATGCCCAATATTGTGTGTGTGTGTGTGTGTGTGTGTGTGTGTGTGTGTGTGTGTGTGTGTGTGTGTGCGCGCGCGCGCGTGCGTGTGTGTCCCATATGGTGCAGTGGTATGTGCAGCGATTTTCAATCGAGAGGTTGCGGGTTCGATTTCCGACGATTATGGTCGCACACGTCTTTCTTCTCTTTCTCAGACTCCTCCTGACTTTTCTTTCATTCTCCTGGGTGGTTAGGAGTATGTGGTGTGATGTGTGTGCGTGAAAAAAATGAAAGAGACCAAAAAAAGTCACGGTAGGGATTCACTGGCCAGAAAAAGCCACTTCGTAGCTGTGTGGTGTAGACCAGGCTGAAATAGTGGCGGTCAATTCCTTAGCCTTGCAAGCTGTTGAATGGTGCAATCCCAGCACAAGCTGCTATGGCTTCTGCTGTAGCATCGCTATCATCGCCTCCGGCGATGGGCGTCAAATGGTCAAATGGTGTGTGTGTGTGTGTGTGTGTGTGTGTGTGTGTGTGTGTGTGTGTGTGTGTGTGTGTATGTGACTGTGTGCGTGTGTGTGTCTTTGACTGTGTGTGTGTGTGTGTGTGTGTGTGTGTGTGTGTGTGTGTGTGTGTGTGTGTGTGTGTGTGTGTGTGTGTGTGTGTGTGTGTGTGTGTGTGTGTGTGTGTGTCGATGGTGTGATGTGGTACGCGATGACCTCAAGTCTTTCGGTCTATACACCCGTTGGTACGACCTCGCAGCTGAACGTGGCGAGTGGATCCAGTCCATCTCGGATGCCATTGTTGCACGGCGCTTATGCCTTGAAACGACAGCCAAGTCAGTGTGTTGTGCGATCTGTGAGCGACTCTTCGCCAGTGAAAGCGGACTTCGGCGGCACAAATGCAGGGAAGAGCGACTGAAGCCGATCCATGAACAGTCCGGTGCTGTATTGTGGGAAATGTGCCATCGTTGGTTTGCTAACCGAGGTGGATTTGCTGTGCATAGCTGCTCTCCCAGCCTTGGTGATGCTCCAGTTCCTGAGATAGTTGCACCTCGCCCAACTGATTGCAGCCAACGTCAGCACCACTGCCACACCTGTGACCGCTGTTTCCGGAGCAAAGCTGGGCACCGCCGGCATAACTGCAACCGCAGAACATGCAGCTCTGGCTCCGAGCGCCGCACCATCCCATGCCCGACCTGCTCTCGGAAGTTCACACGTCTCCAGTACCTGGCTCAACACAAATGCAAGAAGTAACTCTGCCCTCCTTGTCTCTTTGTGTCGCGAAGCGAGTTGGTTTAATTTTGCTATTTTACATGTTTTAGTTCTAAAGACGTTATCATGTTTTCGGCACTGCAGCAATTTGCAGCTTTCTCTTAGGCGCTGTTTACATGAGGCGTTTCAACCCGGGTTGAGTTCGACCCGGGTCAGGTTTCAACCTGCCATGTGCATAAAATGAATGGCGCGTTTACATGACGCATTGTGCTTGACCCGGGTTGAAATTTCGCCCCGGGTCGATTTCAACCCTCCCCCCAAGGGGAGGGTTGAAATCAACCCGGGTCAAGAAAATCGTACAAACGTACATACTGCATACTGCTCTCCCAAAATAATGAAGTATGCGTGCTCCGTACGATGTTGCACTGCAACGCACTGTTGTATTCACTGTAAAATATCGTATAAATTCTCTTTCAGTCCGAGCAAATAAATCAGTTATCAACTCATCTCCTAACTGTGCACTTGCGGGTTTGTGCCGGTTAGTGATACTGTGTGACTTTGAGGCACTGCATCACATTTAGGTGGCAGTTTCAAGGTTTCAAGGTGTGTGTGTGTGTGTGTGTGTGTGTGTGTGTGTGTGTGTGTGTGTGTGTGTGTGTGTGTGTGTGTGTGTGTGTGTGTGTGTGTGTGTGTGTGTGTGTGTGTGACTGTGTGTGTGTGTGTGTGTGTTTGTGTGCGTGCGTGCATGCGTGTGTGTGGGGGGGGGGGGGGGTGCTGTTCGGCGAGCTCCCTGCCACCCGTCCTCGTCACGGCCCGAAGAAGAGGTGGCAAGATGTGGTGTCGACTGATCTGGCGGACCTCGGCGTGACCACCTGGCTTGGGAGTTGCCAAGATCGTCCCGGCTGGAGACGAGTTGCGAGTAGCACTCCACCGCCACGGCCCGCTCCTGATCCTCTTCTATGTGTCTGTGGACGCCCGTTTCGTCGACCAGGAGACCTGAAACGACATGCCAAGTTCTGCGCTCGTGTTCTCACTTGAACTTTCCGACATTCGCTATCATTGCGTACGCAATGGGCAAAATCAAGGTCAAGGTGGGTGCGTGCGTGCAAGCACCCACTTGGGGACCGTTGCTTGTGAACATAATGAATACATAGAAAGCGTTTTGTACTCTTGCTACGACCACCTGGGCATACTGTAAAAGTCATTATTCTAACGAAGCGCATATATAACGATTTCCCAAAATTGACTAGTTTACGTGTACCAAAGGTAACGATTCTCACTCATTCTCAACGCTCAATAGGACAGTATATGTATGGATTTCTGTATAACGATTTCTATTTTAACGACAGATTTCTCCTCGTTAACCCGTTAGAGTTAGCACTTCGTAATATATATGGCTTTTTTTACAGTAGTACATTGTGTAGGGTGTTGAGCAGAGAGCACTCCCTCCGGGTGTTGAACAGGGCACAGCGCATTGCCGATCCCGGCGTACACTTGACATGCATGAGTCTCAGCATATCTCAGTCCCATCATGAGTACTAATTTTGGCAATGCGCAAATTGACGAATCTTGTTTTGGCGTCACAGTGTGAAAGTAAGGGATATTCGCCACTGAGCTGAGCTCGATGGGTACCACCGGATTTCGGTATACTTTATCATAATAATTATTACGAAGACACTCCACATGAACCTTTTGTTGAGCCTTTAGCTTTAGCCTAGATCAATTGGTGAACGGGCTGGGCTGTAACTTGATAATACAATGGGCTCTAAAATAGTCGAATCATCACTACTCAGTAGTCATCACACATGTAGTCATGGTTTTGAAATACAGGCTCAATGACATTAAAAAAATTATGTACATGTACATACCGGTAGGGGGAGGTTGGGGCCCAGGTCCAGGAGTCAGGACTCTCTTCTCCTTGGCTAGGGCCCGGATGCGACTGCTTGTGTCGGATTCACATCACAGTCAGATGCACCAACGACTACAAGTAGGTATTAAAGTAGTTAGTGGTGTCAAAATAAAACCATGGCATGAAACAAACTAATAATTAAAAGGCATGATCGCTGGTTGTCATTCCTGCGCTTTTTGTAGTGTGGTAGCCAAAAGTGTTTATCCAGGATGTCGACGTCACAAGAATTCTACAGAATTAGCAAGTCTCAGTCACGTCATAGTTCATGACATGATCTCATTGTACCATGCGTGATCGTGAGAGCTGAGTAGGGGTATTCCCCTCACTTTTCTCTTTTTGATTTTTCAAATGCACAGCACAATCTGAGCTCATCTACTGTAGATCTGCGCTGCAGTGATGACGCACATGAGCTGACGGCGTTGTAGGTCTGCTGTTCTTTGCTGTTTTGACAACACACACGTCGCAGTTGTTGACGTGGCAAGAAGGCACACGTGGAGCTCTGGACTTGCGCGCAAGGAGATACCGAAAGGTGGAGGACGCCATTAGGAATCCGAATAGCACCAATATAAAAGGAAATTTGAAGGTAAGAGAAGACAACATTATCCAGCGAAGCAGCCTGGGTACAATGAAAGTGATAGAGATTCGGCTGTATTCGAACTGAAGCCACTGAAAGTGATTTCAAATTTCTGATGAGTGGTTAGCAGAATCGTAATCATTGCCATTGTACTTCGAAGTACATGTAGTTGTCTCTAGTTACAAGTATCATTATCATTCCCTACCAGTACCGACTGTTGAGATACTGTGGAATCAGTGCGAAAGCTGAAAGGCGAAATCGAGTCCCGCCATATGACTCTGGATTCAGAACGGCGTGACGTAGCTGTGACTCAAACAACACTGAATCATGGTATGGGCTCCGCTTTGTCATACTTCGATAATGGTACGAATCATTTGAAATGTTGGTTCTCAGTTGTTGCATGCCATGGAGTTATGTAGGAGAAACTTTAATTCTTGGAGACGAAAGTAATCCATGTAATCATCCTGACAAGATGACCTCAAATGTTTGTTTTATATCCCTTCAGGCCAAGATGCTGTTCAAGAGCAACCATTTGATCCGTCGACAGTATATGCCATACCGCGTATTGATATTCCCCTGGATGAAAGTGACAAGCGCTATGCAAAGTGTTTTACTAGTGATCAAACGACGGAGCTGAGCGAGGTAAGTGCCGGTATTGAAATGTACACTTGCATGCGTGCACGTGCACGTGCGTGCATGCGGGTATGAGAACGCGTTCTACTATTGTTGTAGAACACGCTTTTTGTATTTGTGTGTACGTGTGTGCCATAGCAACTCGTACGATATCTTACACAGTTATTATCATGGCTATTATGGTGCTTTCCATCTGCAGTTCTTTCGCGAATATGGTTTCGTAGTAATCCGAGATGTCCTGACTGAAGATGAGTGCCGAGCCTCAATCGATGAGCTGTGGACATTCCTGGAAAGCCGTGGTTACAAGTTGAGAGAATGGGACGGGCCAACGGAGCATGAGAAGCAGGTAAGGCAAGCTTAGTGAGCAAAGCAGTTTGCCTGCAAAGCCTCTGAACAAGCTCGACTTTCAAGATAACAGATTAACTGTGCTATTGCGCTGTTTGTGCCCTGTGTGTGTGTGTTTGTGTGTGTTTGTTTGTGTGTGTTTGTGTGTGTGTGTGTGTGTGTGTGTGACAGTGTGTGTGTGTGTGTCCCATATGGTGCAGTGGTATGTGCAGTCGACGAGAGGTTGCGGGTTCAATTCCCGACGATTATGGTCACACACGTCTTTCTTCTCTTTCTCGTTCTCCTAGCTCTTCTTTCATCCTCCTGGGTGGTTACCAACAGCCAGTGTATGCCGGAGTATGTGGTGTGGCGTGTGTGTGTAAAAAAAATGGAAATAGGGATTCACTGGCCAGAAAAAAGCCATTTCAATCAGCTGTGTGGTGGATACCAGGCTAAAAATTAGTGGCGGTCAATTCATCAGCCGTGCAAGCTGTTGAATGGTGTAATCCCAGCACAAGTTGCTATGTCTAACATAGCTGTTCGCTATCATCGCTTCCGCGATGGGCATGTCTGAGGTCTGAGGTGTGTGTATGTGTGTGTATGTGTTGTGCATATGGATATGTGTGTGTGCGTGTGTGTGTGTGTCCATTTCATCACTTTTCGGATATTGGTCAAAAAGGATTCATTTTATGTGCGGTTTGTATCTAAGTCCATATCTGGGCGCCAGTTTCTAGTTCTAATCAAATGTTGAATGTGAAATTTTGCCTGTTGGTGCGCCTTGCTGAAAATCTGATTTTCTCAAATTTGTCACTTATCGGGTTATGCATCTCAGCTCGTCATATGGATATGCTGTATGAAGAAACACAGCCATTTAGAACTGCACTGGCCAGGGACGAAGATATGAACCCTGCCTTGGGGGGGGGGGGGGGGGGGGGAATAACACTATTTTGGCCCAGACGCGTGACTCCTGTGTTCTTCATAGAGCGAGCTTGCTGTTGCTCTCCGAAGATTGAGGAATTTCCAATACCCGTTCTTTTTTGATATCGTATGTGCCGTGGTGGTATGCAGATGGATGAGGAGAGACCGCCTGCCCGAATCAGGAGAGATGACCCATCAACCTGGGACAACGATTGGCCTCCAATGGGTCATGCAGGGTATGTGCTATGTGTGCGTGCTGTCCAACTGCCTCAAGTACACATGTTTATAACGACGGGCTAAGCGCGGTTCTGCAGTGCATGCCTATCATCTGGGTTGGGAATCGGGTACCGGCGTGTCAGGAGGTGCTTGGACACAAACCTGAGAGCTACTTACTCGATGCTGATCTTGTTTTCACGATCTACTGGTTTTGCGAGTAACATTCCCTGTACATTGGGCTGTGTACTGGGTTGCAAACCAGTGCCTGTGAGGCCACCCCGAATAAACTAGTGCTGAGTCGGGTGGTATTTTCTTCGGGTATCGGGTTCGGGTAGTTAACTAGTTTTCCACGGGTACCCGATCGGGTAATGTTTCCGTGGTAACACCACAATGCACCCCTTCCCTTACACACTGGGTAGACATGCGGAGTATTACATGAATTTGTACACGTGCACTGTACACGATGTCATCTGCGACTTTCAGGTTTTCGGGTACTATTCTGTACCCGTCTACCCGAAGTCCTCACGGGTAGCACGGGTACCCGACTGTACGTGCACACCACTAGTATAAAGCACCTCAGATAATTATGTTTTCATTTCAAGTTGAAGAACTGCTCTATGTCATTGTTTTTTGTCCTTCTGGTTGGCATCACTAGTGTCATTTATAGGCTGTGCATTTACATTCAACGTGTGTGTGTGTGTGTGTGTGTGTGTGTGTGTTCGTGTGTGTGTGTGTGTGTGTGTGCGTGTGTGTGTGTGTGTGTGTGCGTGCGTGCGTGCTTGTGTGTGTGTGTGTGTGTGTGTGCGTGCTTGTGTGTGTGTGCGCGTGTGCTTGCGCGTGTGTGTGTGTGTGTGTATGTGTGCATCAATCTCCTTGCAGTATCCTTGGTTATCTACCGGTGTTTCGCAAGCAAGTGTTGCAAAATAGACAGAATCCAAAGATCTACTCGGCATTTGCGACGCTCATGCAAAGGCAGGTATGCTTTCTAGGTATACTGCGGCGGTGCTTCGGTCCGGTCAAACGTAATTTACCTGTTGTAAAACCTCCATGTGATCGGCTCAGCCATTCACTCCAAGCTATTCAAACGAGCCTGAGCAAGTTCACAATTACAAGTACTGGGCGTCTGCAGACTGAGCAGCCGGCGGAGCATTTACATTTTAGGTTATTCACCCTAGTGCCGACTTTCTTTACTGCAGAAATTCTAGATGACAAGACTTAAAGCACGGTGCGTGATTTAACTTCCTTTTTTGCCCTTTACTTTTCTCTTTCCACTCATCAGGACCTGCTTGTTAACCAGGGTCGCCTTGGAATGTTTCGACCGACTAGAGTGAAGGACGAACCAGACACGATCAATCAGAAGTGGAAAACAGCGTATTCTCTGCATTGGGATGTGAGTTTCACTGGTTTGGAACTTGGGCTGAACCTGGTGCCAATGTGATGGCCTTTTTGTATTTAGATTATCCTAGTCATTCTTCACATGTGCTTCTCCTATCTTTCTCTTTGCAAGGGGAATCCCTGACCCAAATTTGTGTTCCTCACCAAGATCAGATTCCTTCTTTGTGAATTCTGAAGCTTCAATGACGTTGATTTTTGTAGTTGTACTTTTTTACTGGGGAATTTCCACAGGACCCTAAGGTCTTCCTTTATAGTGCCCAAGTTATGCAGTGAGTTCATGTCGAAATGAATTGGGGGCATTCGTAGTGCGGGAGTTTGAACGCTTTTCTTGACTATGTTGAGTATGTAGAGTGTATGTATATGCTGTTGCTGATTCAGCTCAACCCCTGGCGGTATTCACTGGATGATGCCATCTTTCTGCGCGATGCCAAGAAACACCAGAAAGAAAGCCAGCAGCAGCTGACGTACGAGGAGCCTTGCGACTTCATCAAAGAGAACAGCGAGATTGGATCAGAGAAAGATGGCAGTGTAAGGGGAACATCTATACTGCTTTTGTTTTGTTGTTTTTTTGCTTTTTTAATTTTTATGTTTGTTTATTCACATCTGAACCTGGCAGTGTTGGCATGGTGTGCAATTTCAAGGAATACATTACTGGCTGTAAATTATCTTGGTTAGTTGGGCAAGTTGCTGACCTGTGTTTGTTCTTCTGGACATCAGATCAACGTCCAGGGACTCATCAACTTCGCTGACAACCAAGTAGAAGATGGCGGTTTCCAAATAGTCGTCGGCTGCCACCACCACATGGCCAAGTGGGCAGATTCTTGCAAAGAGAGCATGGGCGTGCGGATGCGGCGTAGGGTAAGTCTTGAAAGCAACATTTGATCGCAAATTTACACAAATTCCGGTTGCTAGAATCCACGCAATTCCATTCCACCCATCCTTTACTGAACGGGGAATTTCTAAACCTCCCACCCTGATCGATGCATGTGATGACGTATGTGCCCTCGTTCCCACACATACCTGCTGCATGTTCTGAGTACAAATTTCCCAAAGTGGTCATTCCTCTCTTCCTTGTCCTTCCCAGCCATCACCAAATTATGGCTTTTAAACTGGCCAAGTCCCACTGACCATGTCGAAAGTCACCCGATGATTGCATTGTGCAAGAAACTAGGAGCTTGCGGTGAACTCTGTAGACACTTCTATTGTGGCTTCTGTGTACCTAAGTAGTCACATACATGATATCTCTTTTCACAAAGGTAGAAGAGAACAGAGACAACCAGCTAGATCATTGTTGTAACGCTGTGTTTCATGCACATAGCAAGGCTAAGGCGATCGTGGCGTTGAGCACTCTAGCTATTAAATCTGGGAATTCTCGCTATTGTGATGTCTCTTTTCATGTCTTTATGTGCCTTTGTTTCTTCTGTGTTACACTTACAGACTCTGGTGAAGGTCGACTGCGATGATCCGCTCTATGGGCAGCCGCAGCGCGTGGCCATGCGTGCCGGTAGCATGGTCATCTGGGATCAGCGCATGGCACATGGCAGCGCTCCCAACGACAGCTGTAACCCTAGGTAAGACATACTGTGAAACCTATGTACGGGCGACCACTCAAGGGGCCTTCAAAACCTAGTCCCTGCCAGGCCCACCGGAACCGGTCCGGTTGGTCAGGTTATCACCGAACCAACTTCTTCAACACAGACAATGGCTTCAGACAATCATGACAGGCATGATACGGATGATACAACAGCCACCAACACATGTTTGCCACTGAGGAGGTTATGTGTCCGCACTATCATGCACAAACTGTACGAAAGATCACGGTATGACCGGTCCAATGTAAAGCTGCTTCCGGCGGTCTTGCCTGAGTGCAGGTGGTCTCCTAATCCAGAGTAGTTTCGTTTGAAATGGCATCCCTTGGTCCAAGTTGCAGTGGTCTTCTAAGACAGGTAGTCACCTACTCAGAGTGGTCGCCATGGCAGTCGTACTGTAATCCTATGTTTGTGTTTTCTTATTGACATCGCGGGCAGAGGACCATCTAAGACTGTAGTGTATTGCACATGACAGCACTGCTGTTAAAGGGGAAGTTAAGGCAAAAATCAAAATTTCACCAGTTGTAGTCTTCGGGGTGCTGAGTCGAATGGTCGTGGTCCGAGGAAGCTGAGACGCTCCCTTCCTACTTTAATCCCAATCGAACTCGCGCACTTCCACCGAAACTGGGTGACTGCGCCCTACTAGATGGGGATTCGTATGCAAAATGTCACTAAAAGCGCCATTTCGTTCTTATAAAAGCATGGATGACCGCGATTGGCCCATATGTTGTAGTCTTTTGGACGCTGAGTCGATTTGTTTTGGTCCGAAAAGGCTGCGATACAGCGTTCCTCCTTTATTCCCAATCGAACATGGTTGAACAAGCGGTCACGTGCTCCTGCGTACACCAGTCACCTGGTCACGGTGCCTGCAGGGTACAACTTACTAGCCTGTTTGACCTTTTTTGGGTGCAGTCCTGTCACTCGAGTTGAACCCGAGTTGAACCTTGGTGTGAAAGTTGTCGCCTGCTGGCGTGGTGACCAGGTGATTTGGGCACCCAGGAGCACGTGACCGCTTGTTCAACCATGTTCGATTGGGAATAAAGGAGGAACGCTGCATCGCAGCCTTTTCGGACCAAAACCAATCGACTCAGCGTCCAAAAGACTACAACATATGGGCCAATCGCGGTCATCCGTGCTTTTATAAGAACGAAATGGCGCTTTTAGTGACATGTTGCATACAAATCCCCATCTAGTAGGGCGCAGTCACCCAGTTTCGGTGGAAGTGCGCGAGTTCGATTGGGATTCAAGTAGGAAGGGAGCGTCTCAGCTTCCTCGGACCACGACCATTCGACTCAGCACCCCGAAGACTACAACTGGTGAACTTTTAATTTTTGCCTTAACTTCCCCTTTAAGCAAGTTTGAACGATTACACCTTACATAATATGTCCTTCTTTTGGCCTCGTGTTTCCATGTACATGTGTAAAAGAAACGTTGGAGACTGATCAAAGAGATGTAACGACTCAACCGGGCCACCCATCATATCTTTACGTCTGAAGATGGGCCTGGCCTGAAAGTGTGAATAATCTTTCGAAAATAAATAACACATTTGTTTCATGATCCTGCTCTGTGGTGGTTTTTCCCCAGGATGTGTCAGTTCATCAAAGTCCTGCCAGCTTACTCTGGGACTAGCCAGGCAAGGAATAGAGCCAGGGTTGTTCAACAAAAGGTAACTGATCTCACTGTTGGCTGTCATAGTGCAACATGGTCAAGCACTTTGTTCATTATTGATTAACACTATTCCAAGTTGGAAGGCTGTCGGTTAGCGCTACGGAGATGTGTTGAAGCTAGGTGTCAGGACGTCGAATGTCTCAGTACTCTTGTCAGTTTTGTGCCTAGTTATTGCACTTTCTGACTGTATATAGTATCCAGTTACAGTGATGGAGAGTTACTCTTACCTCGTATCCATATGTCCTTTTCTTTTCTACACTATTTTTTAGTTAAACTTTTCCCTTGCTTCATGGACCAGCATGGGATCTTGTTCAATAAAGAAAGCTTTGCTTGTTCTCACACTCGCATGCAACATACTCATTGCCAAAGGAGCCTTGGGATGGTCAAATAGACTGGGTGGTGACTGACAACAGCTTGACCCGGGTTCTCAACTTGACTTCGAGCCTTCAAATGCAATACTTCCTTTCATTGGTTTGTGTGGATCTCCTCAGGTTGCTGAAGCAAAAGGATTTGAAGCCACCGACCTTGGAAATCGCCTCTTTGGTCTTGCTGAGTGGAGCTAGATGCTTTATTGTTGTTGTTGAAATATACTATTGTTGAGTTTTGCCGGAGAAGGTAATTCTCTTCCCTGCCGCTTATACTTCCTATACTGCCTCCCTCACATGGTCCTGCTATAAGTAACTGCTCTCTTCCATTGAAGACGCAAGTGAATTCCTGCAGTTTTGGTTTAATTGGGTACGAGTATTGCTACTGCTGCAGGTTACCCCTCTTGATTATACTATTGCTATTTTTTAATTATCATCACTTCCTTTTTTCTCTTCTTTTACTTATTCTTTTTTTAACCTTTTGAGGTGCTAATGAGCTCGTGAGGATATTTGCAGTTCACTCCACCGTTTCCCTTTAAATCCCCCGCGCATTGTTGAACAGAGCTTGCACGGTGTTCTGCTGTCATTAGCCTGCTTACTTGTCACTGCATGCTTGAATAATTGAGCTGTATCTCAATACCCAATCTGATGACAGTACCACTGAATACTGGATAAAATTTAATAGTTAGTACTACATGTACATGAACAACACTAATGCTTTATTGCAATGCTTAAACCTCGTGTGAATATTGAATCGACTGAAAAAACAATCCATACTCCATACGTAATTATATTGGCTCGGTTCTTCTTTTCTTTCATGTTTTTTGGCGCACGCACAAAAATAATATCTTTCGTGAAATATCGAAAGGCTGCATACTACTGCCGTGGACATGGAAATCCGGCCGCACGTCTAGCGGCCCCAGGGCGCTGGCCATGCAGCCGTGGGTAAGCGGTACATATGCGCTGCAGCGCGCTGATCGCATCAACACGACACTGCGTGCAACGACGTTGTGCTCGGTACACGCTGAGGGCGCCGGCCCCGTTCATTCGACTGGATTTCCACGTCCACAGCAGTAGTTGTCTCGTACAACGTGGTCAGAGTCACATTGTTTCACATACTTACTCGTACATAACTTGTGTATTGACATAATTATTGGGTGCTCCCCTCAGGCCTGTTCCCCGAATAATAATTTTCATGAAAACAAGGGTGCGGTACATGTAAGTAACTCAATAAGCCCAAGAAGCCAGACCTGGACATGAGGCAGGCATAATGAATGTCCACCACAAAGACATAGTCATGTAGAATGTAGATAGTTAAAAACTTATTACTGGTACGATAAGCCCAGCTGTACAGGGCAGGGCCAGCCTGGTGATGCGAACATCACATCATGATAATTATTATAGAACTACGGGAAAAATCAAAATTCCTGAAAATAGCCGCGAGGAATATTCATTGCATATACAATAGATTGCATCTCTAAGTGTGCCCGCTGGTGCACACAAGCCTGGGGGAAATGAAGAATCCACTACAGCTAAAGAAATTTTCAGCAAGCTTAACTAAATCATTGAAAATCTCACTCTAATTTGCCCAGTGTAAACGAGAACATTCACCGACTTTTACAGAACTATGTTGAAATTATATTTTTAAGTTGAAAACCTGCAGAAAAAACAAGGGGACCATGCCTGTGTGAAGGAAGACGAAGAAAGACTTGACAAGCACCTGCCAATCCTTCCACATTGGCAGTACTGCTCTACTAAAGCTGGGATCGATACTGGGAAGCATGCACCACAAGAGATGCTGGAATGTCACGCACGGATGGACATCCACACAATGCCATGGACATTTCCAGTTCCTTGTTGAGAAGTTCTAGAACTTGACACACACCGGCTTCACCATTGCATGCAAGACCCCACAGGGCTGGACGACCAACAAACACTGCCCGTGCTCCCAGTGCCAGCGCCTTCAGAACATCTCCACCATTCCGAACACCACCATCCACGTACACCTCCACGCGACCATTGACGGCATGCACCACTTCCGGTAGAACTTCTATAGTGGCTGCAGTTGAGTCGAGTTGTCTAGCACCATGATTGGATACCCAGATACCAGACACTCCTCTCCTCAGTGCTTCAGTAGCATCTTCAGCACTCATCACACCTTTCACGATGATGGGTAGTTTCGTGATTGATTTCAGCCAGTCTATATCATCCCAGCACAGTGACCGGTCAATAAGAGAAGCGACATATTCGGCCAAGCCAGACTGGTTACTGCCTTTCACGCCACTAGCGTGTTCACCGGACGTGTCGAAGTTAGCCAAGGTCAGGTGCCGCGGCAGCGTGAACTTGTTCTCCATGTCGGCATAGCGGATTCCCAGGCGCGGTGTGTCCACCGTCACGGCGATCGCCTTGTATCCGCATCGCTCTGCTCGCTCGGCCAAGCGCCGCGTTATCTCTCTATCGCTGTAGATGTACAGCTGGAACCATCTCAGAGATGCAGCGTCACCCGGACTGGCCGCAGCTACCTGCTCAATGCTGGATGTTGCCCATGTGCTCAGGGTCATCACCGTCTTCGATCTGGCACAGGCCCGGGCCATAGCCACTTCGCCATCAGGACAAGCCATCCGCTGCATGGCCGTGGGAGCTACGCAGATCGGCGAGCTGATCGCATCCCCTTGCACAGTGGTGCGAAGGTCTGCGTTGGTGATTCCCCGCAGGCACCGCCATCTCAGCAACAGTCTGGAGAACGCTTGGCAATTTTCCCTCAAGGAAACTTCGTTTGTGGCTCCGGACGAATAGTAATCGTATGCCTGCTTCGGCAGCACGACTTTCGCATGCTCCTCGAACTCTGCTACACTCTGGAAAGGGAGATGGCGAACTGAGGCCTTCTCTGCATCCTCCTTCTTGGACGCCATCCCAAATGTTTAGCTCCAGCCCTATTCTTTCAAAACTATCCGTGCTCCAGTTTTCATTTCGCAACAATAGTCACTAAATTTACGCACGTGACGTGCGACAGTACTAGATCTATAGACTGTGCAGGACAACAGGCGCACGAGATTTTAAAAAACACGTTTTTGCGAAGGAACGCAGCCTAGCCCGGATATCCCGGATCGACCCACAACCATTATGATTCTGAATGATCCAGATTGTATTATTTTTATAGAGCCATTAGAGGTGCATATTTCCGATGGAGAAACAAACAGAACACGAGCACAGCGGTCGCAGATCATATTTGCCCTTTGTGAGGATTGAGCAGTTTGAGGCCAAAGCCAAGTCTGTGCTGTCCCGAAGTGCGTATGCCTTCCAGTCAACCGGAGCTACCGCCGAAATTACGTTGCGTGAAAATTGCCTTTCATTTTCTCGTTTGCTGCTGAAGTGGAGATGTCTGCGAGGCGTAGCTAACGTGGACCTCAGCGCGACGGTTCAGGGAGATGGAATTGCCTCGCCAATATGCGTTGCTCCCTCCGGCCTCCAGGGTCTAGCGCACCCCGACGGAGAACTGGCCATGGCTCGAGCATGCACACGTTCCAACACGATCATGACAGCCAGCACGGTAGCAACGTTTAGTCTGGAAGATATAGCAAGTGCAGCTGCGACGTGTGCCGCTAGGTCTTCACCTCAGTGGTTTCAGCTATATTGCCTGACCGATCGTGAACTTACAAGGCAACTCGTGCTGCGAGCTGAGAAAGTTGGCTACAGGGCGCTGGTAATGACAATCGACCTACCACCGATTGGCATACGATATGTTGGAGAACGGGCCTTTACGTTCCCACCGTGGAACGAATTGGCAAACTTTTCAGGTGCCGCTTCACAGTCCGCTTCACAGTCCCGTCGGGTCACTTTCGACGCTTCCATGGCCTGGCACGATATTGACTGGCTGAAATCAATCACGAAACTACCCATCATCGTGAAAGGTGTAATGAGTGCTGAAGATGCTACTGAAGCACTGAGGAGAGGAGTGTCTGGTATCTGGGTATCCAATCATGGTGCTAGACAACTAGACTCAACTGCAGCCACTATAGAAGTTCTACCGGAAGTGGTGCATGCCGTCAATGGTCGCGTGGAGGTGTACGTGGATGGTGGTGTTCGTAATGGTGGAGATGTTCTGAAGGCGCTAGCGCTGGGAGCACGGGCAGTGTTTGTTGGTCGTCCAGCTCTGTGGGGTCTTGCATGCAATGGTGAAGCTGGTGTTTGCCAAGTTCTAGAACTTCTCAACAAGGAACTGGAACTGTCCATGGCATTGTGTGGATGTCCGTCAGTACATGATATTCCCGAGTCAATTGTTGTTCCAGCAGCTAAGTACAGATCCAATCTCTAGGAATTATATTGAATTTTGAGTTCAATGTTTTCAACAACGTGGATCTGAGATTGAATGATGAACCCTCAGTGATAATCTCCTGTATATGCTGGAAGGCCAGGCCAGTCATCAAACAGTTGGTCTTCGACCTGAACCACGACACGGAGAGATTTGGCAAGGTCGTGGAAAGGCGGACAGGCCACTTCTGGCCAGTGTCAAATGTCGCCATCAGTGAGCCTCACGAGAACTAACAGCTTGTAGCGGATCTGGATCCGTATTAATTTTGTTTTGTAGTGTTTGACTTGCCTATGCATTGATCACCCCTTGCCTGTCATTCTTTGATGCGAAACGGCCGACAGTCATCAGTGCGGATGCTAGCTATGGTCTCGGTGCTGTTTTGCTGCAGAACCACGACGGCAGTCTCCACCCAGTTGCGTATGCGTCCCGATCATTGACATCGGCTGAGCAGCAGTATGAAAGAGAGTGCCCCGGCGTGGTTTGGGCCTGTCAACGGTTCCATGGCGTTGTGTACGGCGACCCATCATCGACGGTCCACACTGACCACTAGTATATCACAAATATGGATCCAGATCAACTACACAACTCAGAAGCCTTCACAATCGATGGACAATTTTTTTTTTAATGGACAACTGGACCCAGGATCGCAGACAGAGCATGGGCTACTCTGGATCCCCGGCCAACACGGTTATCCAGAACCAGTGGTTTCTGTAACATCAGTAAGTGCTCCTCCGTCATCATGCCAGGCTGCTTTATCCTGCAATACAACCCCCACAACCACAACCTGAGTTGCCCTGGATTGCGGCACCCCGGGTACATCTCACAGTTCCACCAGCACGGGTGTCGATGCCATCTGCTCAGGCAATGTTGTGCGACTACATGGCTGGCTGGACTTGTAACTGTGGAATGCGTAGACCCTTCTGGTTGCTCTCCATGCTGTGAGAAATGTAGCATATCACCGCACAAACCGTATGCATCCGTTAGTCTACTGTGGTAACTCTGCCTACACACTTCAATGCATGATCCTGCACGCAAATGTGTACAGTGTCAGGGGCTACAGGCTGCGCTTAGCAGGTTGTTTTGGAATATCTGTTCTGTGGGAATGTTGACTTTCACTTCAATTCCCATCTTCCTAACTTCTTCGTAGACCTTCCATAGGCTGCTTGTTATTGTTTATGTCCACTGTTATGCTGCAACTTCAACTTTAATTGTGTGTGAAAAGCAGTGTGCTACATTTCCTGATGAATGTTCTAAGCAAAAATCATTCTATTCCTGCTTGGAAATGGTAATATTTATGGCACATACGTGTTGATGTATATGTCATGGCGCACCCTACTGATTATGTCAGGGTGATATTGAGTTTCCTGATTATCTATTGAACTTTCCGAGAGATTCAATCCTAATGATTGTCATTGTTTATTTAAATTTTCTGAATCAGCTTTTTACACTGTATCAGAACCTCTTTTTGATTGACATTATTTTAGGACTTGTGCTCTGCCACTCAGATAAACAGAATATCAACCCAGAATGACTAGCTACGAACAGTCTGAAACCAGCGTCCGGGCACTGGTCTAGAATGCACCTGTGGGTTTAACATGGATAATACAGATTATGGCATTTGAATGCCCGACACATTGACCGGTCCTTAAACTACAAGTAATCGCTGTTGACAATTTGCACGTTGTTGAAATTGAACTTGTACTTTAAAAACGTTTTTTGAAACTTTGTCTATGTCAGCCACTTTCCAGGCAGACAAAAGTTTGCCGCCCCTCCCTCACCCCCCCCCCCCCCCCCCCCACACACACACACAATCCCACAAAGTGGCTTTGTACCCCCCCCCCCCCCCCACCCCTCCTCATTGACACAAAGCTGGGTACAGTCTGTCTACACAGTCATGTCCAAAGGGTAGCAGCACCATAACTGTTGTAAGTTAATGCTCTAGTAGTGCCGTAGTGGGTCACACTCGCAGACGAATCACAGTCGAAACCAGCCCAGTGGCAGTCCCATAACTACCTGCACCTTGAACTGTACATGTACTTGCAACGTGATTATGCATAAAACATCACGGGACTGACTCACTCAAGCTCGATTAAAAGTAAGCCCCACGTAACAATGAGTCGATTGGACAGGAGGTGTGTTGCATGTACACAATACAGCCGGCTGGAAATCAGCAATTGCGGCAGTCCTTACTAGTGGGGCTGACCGGCATACTTCAGAGAAAAAATCAATGGCAGAAGTTCCAAAAAAACCCTAGCTAAAAGGTCAAGTTCGATGTACATGTAAACTGTCCGGAAAAATCAAGGGTGCAATTTAGCAAGCTGTAAAAGCTGGGGTCTGTTTAAAACATGTACATGTAGCACACCATAACTGGCATAAGGTGTTGAGATGGTGATGCAGAGTACCAGACAAAATATGTCACTGCACTTCAAACTTTGATAAATCAACAAAGGACAGTGGGCTGAGTCCTATCGGCAGGATGTGCTTACAGTGTGGATCGGTATCGTGCTGCTGGAACTACAATTGACTCGGGAACATCAAGCACAGATGGACATCCACACAATGCCATGGACAGTTCCAGTTCCTTGTTGAGAAGTTCTAGAACTTGCGACACACCAGCTTCACCATTGCATGCAAGACCCCACAGAGCTGGACGACCAACAAACACTGCCCGTGCTCCCAGTGCCAGCGCCTTCAGAACATCTCCACCATTACGAACACCACCATCCACGTACACCTCCACACGATCATTGACGGCATGCACCACTTCCGGTAGAACTTCTATAGTGGCTGCAGTTGAGTCGAGTTGTCTAGCGCCATGATTGGATACCCAGATACCAGACACTCCTCGCCTTAGTGCCTCATTGGCATCCTCAGCATTCATTACACCTTTAGCAATGATTGGGAGCTTAGTGATGGACTTGAGCCAGTCCAAATTCTCCCATGAAATCGAAATATCGAACAAACTATCGGCAAAGTCGGAAAGGGTTGCAAAGCGTTTGTCGTTTTCTGTTGCAAACTCTTCCAGACCCAAGAAGTTGGCAAGCACAAGGTGAGAAGGCAATTTAAATCCACTCCTTTTGTCAGCATAGCGTATACCGGTGCGCGGAAGATCGATCGTCAGCACAATCGCTTTGTATCCACTTTTCTCGGCTCGTTCTACCAGTCGCTGTGTTATTCTTCGATCCTTCAAAACATAGAGTTGAAACCATCTGGGTGAGGTGCCCCCCGCTTTGTCGGAAACTTCCTCTATACTGCTTGTTGCCCACGTACTTAGCGTCATGAGGGTGTTGGAATACGCACAGGATTTTCCCATAGCTACCTCGCCATCAGGATGTGCAGTGCGTTGCATGGCAGTTGGAGCTACGCATATCGGAGAGCTCACCGAAGTTCCTTGGACTGTCGTGCTAAGATCCACATTCGCAACTCCCCGCAAACATCGCCACCTCAGCAATAGGCGACCAAACGCCTCCTGGTTTTCTTTCAATGATTTTTCGTCCGTGGCACCGGAAGAAAAGTAGCCATAGACATCTCGTGGAAGTATTGATCTGGCCTTGCCGTGAAACTGCTCGACTCGAATGAATGGAAGGTACAAGTGGCGGTAGGGATCTCTCCCATCCTGGACAGGTGCTCTTGCCATCGCCGGTTAACGTTTGCAGAAAATAGTCAGTGTCCACATGCGTAGCGCCTGCTAGAGTTCTACTAGTAGTAGTACTACTTGTACTATGTCCGATATATTTCTCAAACAAACAAACATCAAACATTTCCCATTTTTTCGAACAACACAGTCAGTCAGACCCATGCATGCAATGCTGCATGCATATGCGCCAGAAAACAAAACAAAAATGCCAAGCAGGGCTACACTGTACACAACCGTATAAGCAAGAGTACATAACCACTTCTACTAGTAGAGTCTACTAGTCTTGCAGTGTATACCATGGTATACGGGCTCTTTGAATCAGTTTGATGCCAACCCCGCCACGGCACCAGGACTCGATCGAACCACTGTTTACCATGGTTTACATGGTTTACCTGGGTGTTGGCCTGTAGACCATGGTAGATCTACTGTATACCAGGTATACATAATTATGTAGAACGTGTACGTAACCATCAGGGAGTCACCCGGGTCTATACGACTCCCTGGTAACCATGATAACATGCAGGTCACTTCCCTGACTGTTCAGTGTTCGGGCAATTCCTCGAATTCTGCTCCATTTCTTTATCCACATACCAAACATACATGTACATGAAACTTACCAGAAAAAGTACCGAATTCTGCCAATTTTTCTGCCGGCATTATCCGCATATGCCTAACACTGGTTCACTATATTTATCACGAAATTTGCTATGCCAGCTCGTTATAAGTGGAGTCAACTGTATGCATGCAATAATTATTATATTTGTGAGGGCAACCCATTCTGCACTTTCATACGGTGGCTACAACCAGGCAGGCACAGTGGGTTGGTCAAAGACCATGATTGAGATACGATACCTGGTTCAAGTCCTGCCTGGGAGCGGTTTTTCCAGCCGTGCTGCTACCCACAGTCAACTGGGAACTTGTGGCCAGGCACAAGCACGCGTCAATGTCAGCGGTGGTAAACCGCCCACAAATTCGCACGTGCTGAATGGACTTGGGAATTGGGAAATGAAAAAATAAAAATAAAAAGAGCAACGACAACAGAAATAGAAATACAATACAAGACGTACATGTACCTGCTAAGGGGCACATGACAGCATTGCTCAGATTGAACAGAGGACGCAGACACAGGATAAAGGGCATTGTCGACTCCGTTTTGAGAATAATCCAGTAAAATGGTGGCAGGTGGATCAGTGCAGATCCACGCACTACGTTAAGAGAGGAATTTTGTTGGTATTTAAAAAAGATGTTAATTATTATTACTGCAGCAGTTATGAAAAGCAGTACTGTGATATTTCGGAGCAATATTATTTGGTTTTAGTCGTAGACGCCACTATTGGACTTGCAGACGTCCTTGCAAAGGTCCTTCCACTCCCCTCTGCCCTGTGCAATCTCCCGGAGGGAGAGGAGATCAGACAACGTCTTGAGTCCCCTCCGCCCCACTTTCTTTAGTTTGGCCTAATGAATAATCTATACCACATAAAATCTGTGATCACTTTGTGCATAAATTTTTCCAAATTGGGCGTCTGTTATCCAATCCTTTAGAAACTATATGAGAGTAATTGTGGAGCGATCCTGAGCAATATTCCGAAAACTATTCTCAAAAAGTTCCAGCCAAATTTGAAATATTTCAAAAGCCCTACGCGTCTATAGTTTTGAAATGCACTGTAGACATGTACATCAATCAAGGTCTGCTTGCAGAGATACGGATAACAAGAGCCAAGATGACTAGATAAGCTCCTATGACACGAAAATGGTGCCATCAAAGTTTTAAAAAAGGAGATCCATGATCAGGCCCGTACTTTTCTGGATCTTGCATTGCATTGTCTCCGAGAAAACCATTCAAAGAAGGACAATGCCTGCCTGAATTTTACTTGGCTGAACAAAAACAGGTACTAGTACTTGATGTACCTGTTTCTGAGAGCGGCGCTCAAAGTGCCGATCGGTATCGTGCTGCTGCAACTACAATTGACTCGGGAACATCAAGCACAGATGGACATCCACACAATGCCATGGATAACCGTTAGTTCCAGTTCCTTGTTGAGAAGTTCTAGAACTTGCGACACACCAGCTTCACCATTGCATGCAAGACCCCACAGAGCTGGACGACCAACAAACACTGCCCGTGCTCCCAGTGCCAGCGCCTTCAGAACATCTCCACCATTACGAACACCACCATCCACGTACACCTCCGCACGATCATTGACGGCATGCACCACTTCCGGTAGAACTTCTATAGTGGCTGCAGTTGAGTCGAGTTGTCTAGCACCATGATTGGATACCCAGATACCAGACACTCCTCTCCTCAGTGCTTCAGTAGCATCTTCAGCACTCATTACACCTTTCACGATGATGGGTAGCTTCGTGATTGATTTCAGCCAGGCCACATCGTCCCAAGTGATGATTCTATCCAGAACAATTTCTAAGGGTTTGTCTGGTGCACTTCTGCTGCTGATACTGCTGCTGCTAACCTTGGTGCTTGGATCCCTGTGCAAGTCGGAAAAGTTTGGAAGTGAAGCAAACGGTGGGAACTTGAACGCCTGATCGCCAACATATCTTATGCCAACACGAGGTAAATCTATGGTCATCACCAATGCTTTGTAGCCGGATTTTTCGGCTCTCTGCACCAGCCGCCTTGTGATTTCACGGTCGGTGAGTGTGTACAGTTGGAACCACTTGGGCGATGGGCTGTCCGCGGCGCATTCAGCTACATCCTCCAAACTGCAGCTTGACATCGTGCTCAAGGTCATCAGCGTGTTGGATGCTGCACATGCTCGCGCCATGCTGACCTCCCCACCCGGATGAGCCAGGCCTTGCAGCGAGGCGGGGGCCACGCATACTGGCGAGCCAATTGTATCGCCTTGAACCGTTGTCTGAAGGTTCACGCCACTGACACCTCGCAAGCACCTCCATTTGAAGAGCAGACGTGTGAACGCTCGCTGGTTCTCCTTCAAAGTCACCTCGTCAGTAGCGCCGGTTGAATAGAATGCGTAGACACTCCATGGCAGCAGGGACTTCGCTTTGGCACGAAATTGCTCTACATTCACAAAGGGAAGATAGGATTGCCGATAGTTGTCGTCAGGAGCTGGTTTCGCCATCACCCAACTTTGAATTGGTCCACCTTCCGCTTCCAGTACCCTGCAATCTATCCTTTTCACATTATTTTGTGCACATTCCCGCAAATGAAAAAAATATTACTCCGCGGAAGTACAAAGTCATCCATTCTATTTCTCGATAGATGTCTGAATGAATGGTTCGTGTCTTGCCGCCCCCCGCCCCCCCCCCCCCCCCCAACCACAACAGTCCAAAAAGGCCTTGGCCAGGATGGGAGAGATCCCTACCCTACCCCACTTGTAGATCTACATGTACCTTCCATTCATTCGAGTTGAGAAGTTTCACGGCAAGGCCAGACCAATACTTCCACGAGATGTCTATGGCTACTTTCTTCCGGTGCAAAGGACGAAAAATCATTGAAAGAAGACCCAGGAGGCGTTTGGTCGCCTATTGCTGGGGTGGCGATGTTTGCGAGGAGTTACGGAATACGGATGTGGATCTAGGCAAGACTGTCGAAGGAACTTTGTAAACTGTCCGACATGCGTAGTTCCAACTGCGAATCTGCGATGCAACGCACTGCACATCCTGATGAAGTGATGGTGAGGCACATGCATATGTACATGCAGTGGGCACCGGTGGACTATGCCGGCATAATTATTGGCATAATTATTGGCATAATTTGGGGGTTGAAAATTTGGAGGATAATTTGGCATCCTTTCGGAGGTAGGAGCATAACTACATGATTGTACCACAGTTCTAGTATGCAGGCTGCACAATTGTGTACAATGCACCTGATCAGTCCTGGTGGTCTGCATGGTAAAGGGCTTGAAGTAAGTTGGAGGGCATGCACTGCAGATAGTGTTTTCAATGAAAAGCAGGGTAGAAATCATGGCAATACATTATTGTATACTCGAACTCGTCTTCTTCAAAGTTCTTTCTCGCACTGATGCAGTACATGCAGCAGAAGATGCGAGTGAATCAGCCTTTATCAGGTATCCTGGGGCGGACAAGATAGTGACGGGTAGTCCGCAAACTGTACATGTACATTATTCATGATACGAAGTCATGACCTCTGGATTTTAGCAGCCATGTCTGTGCAGGCTTCGGACATTGCTAAAATAATTTTAAAAAAACTTGAGGTGTAGTTAGTGTTGGGTCACGTGATGGCAGGAGAGGAACATAACAGTCAGTTGCCTGTTGATCGTAGTAATACGTGAAACTCAGAGTTGTGACAAAGCTTCCAATCTCTCTTGTGTGTAACATCACGGTCATGTACATTGTGTGTTAGGCTCTAGTTTGGAAGAGGAAGCAATCTTGACATTCTTGAGTAAAGGTAAAGAGTTTCCGCTCTTTCCTCCCCAGCAGTGCATGTCAGATGTGCACCACGGGTAGGTGCACCGAGCAGTGGAGGAAATCTCGCAAAACGGGTTTCAGTAGAGACCGTCCTTCAGCCGCTCTGTGACGGCATTCACATCAATGAAAAAAATCACGGTTCGCTTGAGACTCGGCTGGAAGCCGACTTTTCCGCGTCCGCAGGAACGCCACCACCCTCTAGGATCAAGGCGCAGATGCAGCTCCTAAGCGGTGAGTAGATCAGACCCACCACAAAGTGGTCAAAGACCGAAAATCCCCTTCACTGCATCGATGTTTCCCTCGTGCCAGGCCACGAGTTCCCAATTAACTGTGGGTCGCAGCACGGCTGGAAAAAATCCTTCCTCTTCCAAGCAGGACTTGAACCTGGTACCCTCTGTTTCTCAAGCATGGTCTTAGACCGTCCCACTATACCTGCCTGCCAATGAAGCATGAATCAAATCCACTGGGCCATGGCTAGACTGCCTTCCACAGCACCATGATCCGAATCGTGGTGAGTCGTGATTTGCACCAAGTAAGAATAAAGGTAGCAATCCAGGACCTCAGAACTAAATATTGCGACAGAGCTTTCGGCCATATTTTCAATTCATTGCATTCCCAACTCATCACAACCACGCGCTCTTCAGCCGAACCATACAGACACAGCAAGGACACTTCCGTTGAGAGATAATATTGCTCCACGCCTCTAGACAGCTGTTTCGCTCCCTGTCGGAGCTCATCAGTAGAGGATGATAATGGAGGAATGATCATTCTTATACACCAGAAATGGCGCAAGTGCGCGCTTTCCACATAATTATATCAATGGCATATGCAAGCTGCTAAAATGGTAAAGTCTGAGAACAGCGATAAATAATCATAGTACTCGCTCATTGGTGGAGAAACACACCACACAGGCGACGAAAATCTTACGCGGAATACTGATGCCAATGGAAAGTACATGTATGTTGTTTATTATTATGATGTTGCAATGTCCATGTATGCAGGCGAGGCGAGACTCACCGCCGAGATCCCCCAACGCGACAGGCTCGGTTGCCGTTCAGGATTCACACCGACCTGTCCGCCCGTCAACAGGATCGACAGCGGGAGGCCCCACTGTACTGATGCCGATGTCGATGCACACCAGGAAACTTGTAGTCGTGAGTGTGATACTAACAGGTCTAGTAGCAACCACTGACAAACGAGAGGCCAGCTGGGGCATTCACTCCAGTCAGGGATGCTTGGTCGACGCTTCGTATCAGCAGCTCAGCTCAGTTTGATCAAACAAATCCAGGACCTCACAGACCTATGTCATAAAACCCATCCAACAATGCTCCACCGAATTGGTTTTGCAAAAAAACGTATAACAGGCATCGCCGATCTGTTACCTCGAATTGCGTTGTAATTGTTCATACGAACCACAAACCTTCAAACACCTACATGTATGTGAATGGATAGTGAAAGCAGCACAACTGCGCCGCAGTGGTAATTACATCCAACCAGCTCGTCAGCTCGCCAGCGGCCTACCTCAGGTCTCGGAGTAATTGCCGCTCGGGCGAACTAGGCTAGGTACAAAGGTACAAAGGAAGGAAAGAGAAGGAAATCACTGTGAAGTGAGAGAGGCAGGGCCGGGAGCATATCCTCGCTACAGCATCTCATGTTCGTGACATCTTTCCTCAACCAGCGTTTTTGCCATGTGACGGTGTACAGCTTATATAAATTACATGTATATTCCTCGGATGTTGAGCCATAAATAAATGTAAAAAGGAAAAGGACATAGTTAAGAGCAACTCTCCATCACTGTAACTGGATACTATATACAGTCAGAAAGTGCAATAACTAGGCACAAAACTGACAGAGTACTGAGACATTCGACGTCCTGACACCTAGCTTCAACACATCTCCGTAGCGCTAACCGACAGCCTTCCAACTTGGAAGGTTCAAGGTTATGCCTCTCTCTGTAGCTTTTGCTCGTTTTCGTTGCGCTTGCCTTCCCCTCTTTGGTCTTTCCATAACCTTGAACCTTCCAAGTTGGAAGGCTGTCGGTTAGCGCTTAACTCGTATCCATATGTCCTTTTCCTTTTTACATGTATATTCCTGTTTTTTGTTGCTTTTCTCACTTCATCTAGTTTTTGGTTTGCTCCTTCTTTTTCCCTTTTATCTCCATATGATCGGTTTTTCGGGCCTCTTTGTAGTACTTCGAAGTAGTACATTGTACTGTTGAGCCACCTAAGTAAAATAAATGCAATACAGTTTGTTTCGCTCTACTTGGTGCTTTTCTCCAATGTCATGCAGTCGTATTTATTCAGCTTTTATTTCTTTTGTACTTGCATACTGGTATTACTATTCGTTTAGTACCACAACCTGCGATAAAATGATCAGCTGTGGCACCTACTCCACTTTTATGTTTATGTGTCTATGTCATTCGGATCTTCCCAAGTTGTTTATTTATTTATTTATTTATTTATTTATTTATTTATTCAACATCTCCTGGCCCGTCCGAAGACTGCCAATAAACATGAGAGGTCAGGTGATAGCCAACCACGGCAAGCTAAAAGGGGAAAAAAAAAGAAAGATGCTGTCAGAGAGGGAAAGGAGATAGGGAGAGAAAAAGAAAGGGAGGCACATTAATAATACATGGGATCACTTCGGATGAGACAGTGTGGAAAGCTGGACTGTGAATTTCCTGATATCCTGGCATGTCTTAATGCTAGTAGGCAGGTTAGACCAAAGGGAGTATGCTGAGAAGAAAGGGGATTTCAAAAACAGAGAGGAACTAGCTCGGGGCAGTGATAAGGCATTGCGTGTTGGTCTAGTGGTAACAAACCAGTTGTACTTGGCAATATGTTTCGGGACTTGGGCTAGGAAGATTTTTTGCACAAGGATACAAAGATGCTGCTGATGTCGGGCAAGAAGAGGGTGCGTGGAAGCAAGTTTATAAAGACAAAGGGAGGCAAATGTTTGGTCTTTTCGAAACAGAATTTTCAGAAGCAAGCGTTGATGTACCTCCAGTCTGTGGAGTAAAGTCTGAGACAACCCGCACCAAGCTATATCGCAATAGTCAAATATAGGCAAAATGTACGACTTAAAGAACAATTTTCTGCAGTTATCATTCAAGTGTTGGCAGTGGGGTTGTAGCATACCTAAGGACGCACTCGCACGCTTGCACACAGACTGGACTTGTGGAGACCAGGAGAGTTGGCGGTCGAGAATAACGCCCAGGTGCTTGTGCTCGTTAACAACTTTAATAGGTGTACTATTTAGACCAGGAAAATACAGAAGTTGAGTGGGGGGGCGAGGGAGAGAAGAACATGGCCTCGGTTTTGGCGAGGTTAGGCTTCAGTTTCCAGGTTTCCATCCATGTTACTGTAGCGTTGACCCCGGACTGCATGGAGGCCGTGAGGTTGTCTGCCGAGCTGTCGGAGCACATCAGAGCAGTGTCGTCAGCAAAAAGACTTACATTTGGTACAAGGGCTGGCAAGTCATTAACGTACAGTAGAAATAGGAGCGGCCCAAGTATGGACCCCTGGGGTACCCCAGACACGACTAGTAATGGGTCTGATAGGGAGGTAGATACTCTGACAGTCTGGTGGCGGCAGGAAAGATAGGATGAGAGCCATTGCAGGGCTGGACCGTGTACCAAGAAGACGGACTCTAGCTTTGCAAGCAGACCACGATGCCAGACGGTGTCGAAAGCTTTCGCTAGGTCAAAGAACACGATGCCAACATGCCGCCTGAGGTTCCGCTGGGTGTAGATGTCTTGTACTAGACGTGTTAGC